AGGGACCATCCCCCAGCAAAAACCTCGCCGGCACCCCTCCCCGCCACGCCCCCGCCGCGCCCCCCCCTCGCCCCCGCGGCGCCTCCACCGCGCCTCACACCGCGCCTGACACCGGCAGCCTCCTGGAGCCTCTCGGCATTGGCTTCTAAGGCCCACCCACCCCGAAAAAACCTCGCTGGCACCCCCCCCCCACCCACCACCACGCCCCCACCGCGCCCCCACCGCGCCCCCACCGCGCCGCCACCGCGTCTGACACAGCGCCTGACACCGCCAGCCTCCTGGAGCCTCTGGTCACGAGTTCTAAGGCCCACCCAACCTGCAGCACCCCCCACCACGCCCCCACCGCGCCACCACCGCGCCCGCACCGCACCTGACACCGCGCCTGACACCGCCAGCCTCCTGGAGCCTCTGGGCATAGGTTCTCACGGCCCACCCACCCTGGAAAAACCGCGCTGGCGGCTCCCCCACCACGCCCTCACTGCGCCCACACCGCACTCCCACCGCGCCCCCACCGCGCCTGATACCGCGCAAGACACCGCCAGCCTCCTGGAGCTGCTGGGCTTCGGTTCCTAGGGTTCACCCACCCTGCACAACCTCGCTGGCACCCCCCCCACACCACGCCCCTACCGCGCTCCCACCGCGCCCCCACCGCGCCCCCACCGCGCTCCCACCTCGCCCGATACCGCGCCTGACACCGCCAGCTTCCTGGAGAGCCTCTGGGCATGAGTTCTCAAGTCACCGCCAGCCTCCTGGACTCTTTGGGAATAGGTTCTGAAGGCCCACCCTCCCCGCAAAACCCTCGCCGGCACCCCCCCCGACACGCCCCCACCGCGCAACCGCCGCACCCCCACCGCGCCCCCACCGCGCACGACACCAAGCCTGACACCGCCAGCCTCCTGGAGTTTCTGGGCATAAGTTCTCAGGACCCACCCTGCAAAAACCTCGCTGGCACCCCCCCACACCACGCCCCCACCGCGCCCCCACCGCGCCTCCACTGCGCCGGCACCGCGCCTGACACTGCGCCTGACACCGCCAGCCTCCTCGAGTTTCCACGCATAGGTTCTTAGGGCCCACCCACCCTGCGAAAACCTCGCCGGTAGCCCCCCCACGACGCCCCCACCGCGCCCCCGCCGCGCCCCGAACGCGCCCTCACCGCGCCTGACACCGCGCCAGAAACCGCCAGCCTCCTGGACACTGGAGCCTCTGGGCAAAGGTTGCGAAGGCCCACACACCCTGCAAAATCCTCGCTGGCCCAGCCCGACCCTGCAAAAACCTCGCTCCCCCCCCCCCCCGCCGCGCCCCCACCGCGCCCCACCTGCGACGGACATCGCGCCTGACACCGCCAGCCCCCTGGAGTCTCTGGGCACAAGTTCTCCACGCCCACTCACCCTGCAAAAACCTCGCCGACAACCCCCCCCCCCGCCCCCCGCGCCCCCACCGCGCCCCCACCGCGCCCCCACCGCGCCTCACACCGCGCCTCACACCGCGCCTGACAACGCCAGCCTCCTGGAGCGTCTGGGCATAGGTTCTTCTGACCCACCCACCCTGCAAAAACCTCGCCAGCACCCCCCCCCCCCCCATGCTCCCACTGCGCCCTCCCCGCGCCCCCACGGCGCCTCCACCGCCAACCTCCTCGAGCATCTAGGCATAAACTTTTAGGGCTCACCCAACCTGCAAAAACCTCGCCGGCACCCCCCCATCGCGACCCCACCGCGCCCCCACCGCGCCTGACACCGCGCCTGACACCGCGCCTGACACCTCCAGCCTCCTGGAGCCTCTGGGCATAGGTTTTTCGGGCCCCCCCACCCTGCAAAATCTCCTCGTCGTCCTCCCCCCCCCTTTCCCTCCACCTCCTCCTCGAAGACATCCTCGACATGACTAGCCCTCGGACCAGCAGCACACCCCCACGAACTAGATTGGCAATTACCAGTGGTTCGTGAACCACGTCGCCACGGCTCAGCAATAATATGCCCGAGGAGTCCGCCGACTCCTTGTGGTGTCCTCGGCGTGTTTGAACAGTGCTTCTCCCCCCACCACTCCGCCTGAACCCGCATCCTGCCTGTAACGTCGAAGGCAATCCAGCCGTCGGCGGACGCCCGAGGACCGCTGGATGCACATGAAACAGCCTTCGAACTCCGAGCCGAGGTCGCGGCGTCAAAGGCACGGAGGGACGACACACTGACACGATGCGACAGGGTGCGTCAGATGCGACGGCTCATGCAGGCCTGGAAACAAAAGGGATGTCACACATCTCGGCCTCCCATGCATTCCACAAACACCCCATGGGCCCCAAAACCACTCTCTGGGGTCGGCGGCAGAGGCGGCAGCCTTGAGATAAAGTCGACGCTCCAAACGGCCCAAATCGGCACAAGCTTTCCCCTTCCTTCGCCAGTGGCTGGTCAAAGCCCTCCTGAAAGTCCCTCCGAGGGGGTCCCACTCTGCCGGCGGACCCCCCCTCCCTGAACAGTTCCGGCGCCCGGGGGCGACTCAAGAGCGCCCTAAAACGGGCCAAGAGAGCCCCAAGACGGCCCAAGCGAGCCTCCAGACGGTTCCAGATCGCTCCAAGACGCCTAAGATGGCCTCCAGACGGCCCAAGACGCCTCCAAGACGGCCCAAGAGGGCTCCAAGAGCACCCCCAAGACAGCCCCGAGAAGCAAAAATCATGGATTTTTCAATGGTTTTTGAAGGATTTACACGTTCACGCCATTTCGGCTTACCCACGCTCCACGACGGCCCAAGAGCCCCCCCAGATCGCCCCAGGACGGCCCAACAGGCACCCAAGACGGCCCCAAGACGGCCCAAGAGGGCCCCAAGACCGCCCAAGAGGCCCCCGGAACGGCCCAAGAGGGATCCCAGGATGGCCCCAAGAGGAGGCCCAGAAGGGGTACCCGAATGAACATGTCCAGCTTTCGGCTCGAGAGGCCCCCAGGAGACCCTAAGAGGCCCCCTGGAGGCCCCCAACAAACCCCAAGAGAGCCCCAAGAGGCCCCAAGAGGGCCTCAAGAGGTCTCCAAGAAGCCCCTGGGACGCCCCCAAGAGGCCCCTAAACTGCCCCGCAGAAGCCTCCGAGAGCCCTCTCGAGAGACCCCAGGAAGCGTCCATGAGGACTCCGTCCGACCCAAAACCCCAGCACGGTGGCGGGATGGGGCGACGGCTATTTGATAGCTGGCATACGCGCCGCGTCACGACTTTCGATGCTGCGCACCTCTTCGAAAAACTCCCAGGGAGCGGCCGGTGATGCGCCGCCGGCGTCCTCGATAAAGTCGACGCTCCAAACGGCCCAAAACGCCTCCAAGACGGCCCAAGAGGTCTCCAAGAGCACCCCCAAGAGAGTCCGAAGAGACAAAAATCGTTATTTGTTCTATGGTTTTTGAAGGATTTTCGCCTTCTCGCAATTTCGGCTTACCGACGCTCCAAGACGGCCCAAGAGGCCCCCGAGATCACCCCAAAACGGGCCAACATGCCCTCAAGAGGGCTCCAAGACAGCCCAAGAGGGCCCGAAGACAGCCCAAGAGGCCTCTGGGACGGCCTAAGAGGGGGCCCAGGACGGCCCCACGAGGGCGTCCAGAACAGGAACCCGAATGAACATTTCGAGCTTTCGGTCCCAAGAGGCCCCAGGAGGCTCTAAGAGGCCCCCAGGAGGGCCCCAAGAGGCCCCCAGATGGCCCCCTAGGAGGCCCCTAAACTCCCCCGCAGAGGCCCCCGAAAGCCCTCTCGAGAGACTCCAGGAAGCGTCTATGAGGACTCCGACCCAAAACCCAAGCACGGTGGCGGGATGGGCCGACGGCTATTTGATAGCTGGCATACGCGCCGCGTCAAGACTTTCGATGCTGCGCACCACTTCGACAAACTCCCAGGGAGCGGCCAGAGATGCGCCGCCGGCGTCCTCGATGAAGTCGACGTTGGGAGTCCAACGAGCGCTGGGGGAAGGAAGGGTGAAATGAAACACTGTCCTGCGTCGCAGCGAGGCAGAGGCAGTCCGCTCGCGCGTCCAAGCAACCCGGGCTACGGTATTGCAAATTGTCCTGGATACAAGAAGAAGAAGAAGAAGAAGAAAATGGTCAAAAACTCTGATGCGTGAACTGGAGTCATGTGCGAGCCCACCACGGAGACACCAGTACAGCAACCGTACGTCCACCGTGATGCCCCTGGTGCGGACATCTGTGACCTCGCTGTGGGGCCACCGGCGGGGCACGCGAGGGCCCATGACTGGACCTCTAGTGGGAGACTAAAGGACCCGCCTTGGGGCCCCCCATGAGGCCCGTTGCGGCCGCAAGGTGGGGCAACTGCTGAAAACAACAGTGTTCCACCAAGGACACAATTGTGCGAACACCCGGAGCCGTCGAATCTGCCCACTGTTACGACCCCTTGCTCTACAACAGGCCGCGCATCGACAGCGAATTGCACCGCGCTGTCACGCAACGCCCTGTGAACCGCCAAGGCCAACACACCGTGCACCAGCCGGTCAATCCCTGGCAGTATTGCTCGCAGTGGCACGCCGAGCAATCCAGCGAAGCTCGCCGCAGCAACACCTCAGCTGCACTAGGCCATGCAACAAGGCACCACTCCGAGGGTCGCCCCTGGCCGCGGCATGGCGGGTCCCGCCGCAATGCCCCGCAGCGTGCTCAGCCACCGCACCAGCCCGCAGGGCTTCCATCACTGCGCAGATTGACAAGGGTGAACCGGCAGCAGCACCGCGGACATGGCGTGCGGAAAAAGCCGAAACCACTGCAGATGATCATGATGATGGTGGTGACAAGGACGGTGATGGTGCGGCGACCCTGACAATGACGACGGTGGTGACGGTGATGGTGGTTGTGGTGATGGTGATGATGATCTGTTTGTGTCTCTCCCCCGTCGCAGCCCCCTCGCGTCAATACTCTAAACTTCGAATAGTTCGTTAATTCGTTCGCGTCCGTTTTATGGTAATCACCACGCTGCCGACAAAAATTTACGCATCCATATCGAACGCTGGGCTCATCAATGTAGGCGCTGCCCGCCCACCAACCGACCCCCCACATGGTGATGCGAATGGTAATGATGCTTTTGATGGTGATGATGATGGTGATGGCGTAGTGATGGTGATGAGGCGACGTCATCGTCAGACTTGGCGCCGATCCCCTCCACGGGCGTGGTATCCACATTATTGACCTCGACGTCCGGCACAACCTTGGCAGACCCGATGCTGTTCGCACGCGCCTCCAGCGCGGGGTTGCAGAAGGGGACAGGACAAGAAGGAGAAGAAGCAGGAGGAGGAGGGGCGCCTCAAGCGATGGGTTGAAGTACATTATGGTACAATACACAATGTAGGCGGCAAACAATCCGCCACCGTGCCTTGTGAACGCTGAGGCGTGAAAGGATGACAAGGTCTGCCTGGTAGGGTTCCTGTGGGTCTAACGAGGGACACACACACACACACACATTTCTAAGTCGGCGGCGACGCAGAGGGTCCTGAAGCGCGAGCAGCAAATGGGCGTAACAATTGCGACTGAACGTTGTCGATGGCGCGGCGCACAAACCGCATCACCGCAAAATGCAAGCAGCAGGTATGAAAGAGGAACTGCAAGTCCAAGCGAAACGTGCAGCGGCCAGAAAACGATGAGATGACTCAACTCAGAGACAACTGAAGCGCGAGAGCCAACGGCTACTTGCGGCCACTGAATCACCACAGCGGTGTTAGACAACGAAGCGCAAGAAATAACATACACACACACACACACACACACACACACACCTGCCCGCGTCTACCTGCACCGTCTCTCCGCGCTCCCGACGCCACGATTCCTCGTAAAAAGGCGATGGGTCAGCGTCTCGAGCTTCCAAGACGGCCCATCCAGGCAACGGAGGGCACCAAAATAGCCCAAGATGCCTCCAGGACGGTGCAAGATGGCCCAGAGGGTGCCCAATGCGGCCTCAAGACGAACCTTCAACAGGGTCCAAATAAAACAAAAAAGATTCCCAGTTGGTTTTTGAATGAGTGTCGCGTTCTTGCCGTTTCTGGCTTCCGTCAGCTCGAGACGGCCCGGGAAACATACGGCCCAAGAGGCCACGACGATGGTCCCAAGAAAAGAGGTTCCACGATGGTCCAAGAGGCATGCAAGACGGCCCCAAGACGGCCCAAGAGAGCATCCCGCGGGACCCAAGACGGCCTTGGAAGGCCTTTTGACGAGCCAAGACGGCCCTCGACAGCCCCCCGACGCCCACCATACGGCCAAGAGGGTCCCACAACGGCCCAAATGAGCCCCAAGACGGCGTAAGATGGCCCCAAGACCGGCCGAGGCTACCCCAAGGAACCCCAGGACTGCGTCACTGGAGGTCAAGACAGCCACAAGACGACCCAAACGAAATCCATGAGAGCTCCTCCAATAGTACAGACAAAAGATGTCACGTGCGACGGCCTTCCTCTTCCACTTCCTCCACCTCCCCCTCCTCCCCCCTCCCGCTCCTCCTCCTCCTCCTCCTCCTCCTCCTCCTCCTCCTCCTCCTTCTCATCCTCCTCCTCCTCCTCTTCCTCCTCCTCATCCTCATCATCATCATCATCAGCAGCAGCAGCATCATCACCATCATCGATCATCATCATCATCACCACCACCACCATCATCATCATCATCCTCATCATCATCATCATCATGATCATCATCATCATCATCATCATCATCATCATCATCATCATCATCATCATCATCATCATCCTCATCAGCATCATCAGCATCATCAGCATCATAATAATACTAATAAACATCACCATCATCATCATACTGCTCCTCCTCTTCGCTATCAGCATCATTATCAATAGCATCACCAGCATAATCATCATCACCATCACCGCCACCGCCATCATCATCTTCATCATCATCAGCATCATCCTCAACATCAGCAGCAGCATCATCATATGTTCCATCATCATCGTCATCAACAACATCAACCGCGAAACATCATCGTCGTCATCAACATCATCAACATCATCATCACCACCACTGCCACCACCACCATCCTCAACTTCATTCTTCTCCGCCTCCTTATCCACCTCCTCATCCTCATCATTACCACCAACATTAGCAACTGCAACAACAATAACAATCATTTTAAGACTGTTCGCCCTTATCTGCACGAGTTTCCAATAACGCGTATTTCCCAAACCCTCGATACCCGCCCTCTTCGTCTTCGATCGAACCCTTTTGGGGAGGATACATTTCTTCCCTGCAGGCCGGGCCCCGGCAAGCGGCGGGGCGGCCGCGGACCGTCGGCCTGGCCAGCGGCAGCGCTGATCGGCGGGACGGCCGCGGACCGTCGACCCGACCCCAAGAGGGACGGACAGGAGACCGACCACGACGACGACGACGACGACGACGACGACGACGCCGACGACGACGACGGCGACGACCTCGACGACGACGGCGACGACGACGACGAGCGAAAGCGAGAGCGAGAGAGAACGACAGTAGGGCCACGAAGGACACGAAGTAGGCCACGAAGGGCGACAGTGGGGACACGAAGGGAATGCGTATGGGGCCACGAAGAGCGCGAACGAGCGGGGGCCACGAAGGGCGGATAATGCGGGGCCACAGAAGGCAACGATGGGGCCACTGAGGGTAGCAACTAGGCCACGTGGGACAGTGAGGGGGCCACAATCGGCGACAGCGGGGCCACGAAGGGCATGCACATGGGGCCACAACGGGCGCGAACGAGCGGGGGCCACGAAGGGCATACGTATGTTGGGCCGCGGAGGGCAAGGACGAGGCCACTGAGGGCAGCAAGGGGGCCACGAAGGGCAGCGAGGGGGCAACGAAGGGCGACAGCGGGGCCACGAAGGGCATGCATATGGGACCACCACGGGCGCGAACGAGCGGGGGCCACGAAGGGCATACATATATGGGGCCACGAAACAAAGCGAGGGGGCCACGAAGGGCTGCAACGGGGCCACGAAACAAAGCGATGGGGCCACGAAGAACTGTAACGGAGCCACGAAGGGCTGCAACGGGGCCACGAAGGGCAGCGAAGGGGCAACGAACGGCTGCAACGGGGCCGCGAAACGAAGCGAGGGTGCCACGAAGGGCTGCAACAGGGCCACGATGGGCAGCGAGATCCCGATTCCTGGGTAATCTGTGAGGGAGCCCTAAGCGTGAGCGCGACTCCTGGGTGCCCGGGTGTCCGGAGCGCGGCGCTTGAATAAATTGCAGGAAATTCCAACGCAGGGGCGCTATTCGTCAGTAGATTGCAAGCAACTCTCCAGCGACAGCGCGACTCCAGAGCGCCACGAGAGCGATTCCTGCATAAATTGTAAGGCGGTCCCAAAGGAGATCGCGATTCCTGAGTAAAATGCGAAGAAGTTTCGGGCGGGAGAAGGGGTCCTGGCGAAATTGTGAAGAAGTCTCAAGCGGGAGCCGTTGTTATTGTAACCCGGGGGCCAGGGGCACAGTTTGAGCATCAAGACTTTCCCTGTCAAAAAACCGGGTGCGAGCGTCGAGGGGCACACTTTGATTGCGAAAAAACCATATGCACTGGCGAAGGCGGATCAACAATGATTATTCTTCTGAAGTGAGAGCTCAACAACAACAACAACAACAACAACAACAATCATTTTACCCGAACGCTCAGTGTTCTCCCCAGTGCCAGGGTTTTCATGCGACGCCAGCCAATACCCCCACTTCGTGGGGGGGCAATGCAAGCTCTACCAAACATCCACACGACTCTCGGGAACCACCCACACCCAGCTTCCCGCCCTATGACGTCAGGACACTTCACTTCGTGGCGCGCGGACGATCGTGGATACTACACTGGCGTGGAGTACACACCCGCAGAGGTTGATCACTTGTTTGGGCCCCGCATGTGCCCCGCATGGTGCATTTGTTGCGTATGACATACATAGTACAGAGAGACAGAGAGAGAGAGAGAGAGAGCAAGACAGAGAGCCAGTGGAGAGAGAGATAGAAAGAGATTCGTCACATGTGTGAGGCAACCTGAGAAGATGTGGTACACGGTACACGTGAGATGGTACGCAGTGCCAAGATAGTTGGTCACATTTTTGAGGCAAATTCCTGGGAAGGCGATTACACAAGTAGATGTGTTACGTATGATAGATATGAAGCAGAGAAAGAGCGAGAGACAGAGAGAAGGAGAGAGAGGAGTCGGTCACATCTTTAGGGCAACTTCCTGAGGGATGTGGGAGGACACAAGAGAGAAGGTATCGTTGTCCCGATGGTTGTCTCGATGGTTGCCCCGATGGTTGTCCTGATGGTTATGGTTGTCCCGATGGTTTGGCAGGATTTCGGCACGCGCGCGCGGCGGCCGCGCGCATGTGCACTTCGTGTCATTTTTTGCAAGGGATGGTGGCCCTCGTAGGCTCGCAACCGTTGTTGCAGAAGGTCGAAGCACCTGAAAAGGTTCCTCGCAAAGGCCCTTTTAACAGAAATGTTTAAAATCTGGTGGGTTTCCTAGGAATCCGCAAGAGCGCGCGGAAGGACATTTTGACAATTTTTTCTGAGAAAACCATTGGGTTTTTGATGTTTTTATGTTAAAATCGTTACGAAACCTAAGGTTTTGGAAGGATTTCGTCTTGCGCGCACGAATGTCCACTTTACCTTATTTTTTGCAAGGGATTCTTGCAATTTGATCAAGTAAAAACAAGAATTTTCATTTTCTATTGTTTTTTGCAAGGGAAAACGAGCGTCAACAAAAAACCGGATCCGGAGCTCATCCACTTTTCTGAAGCTTTCGCGAAAAAATGATGAAAATGTAGCTGCGGCCTAGGCGCGGCGCAGAGGTCGCGCACCAGGGGTCCCAACAATAATAATTCTTTAGAAGGAATAATGTTCAACAACAACAACAACAACAACAACAACAACAACAACAACAACAACAACAGCAGCAGCAGCAGCAGCAACAACAACAACAACAATCATTTCAAGACTGTTCGCACTTATTTGCTCGAGTGTCCAATAACGCGTATTTCCCAAACCCTCGCTGCCCGCCCTGTTTGTCTTCGATCGAACCCCTTTTGGGGGGTATACCTTTCTCCCCTGCAGGCCGGGCCCCAGCAAGCGGCGGGGCGGCCGCGGGCCGTCGGCCTGGCCAGCGGCAGGGCTGATCGGCGGGGCGGCCGCGGACCGTTGACCCGACCCCAAGAGGGACGGACAGGGACCGACGACGACGACGACGACGACAACGACGACGACGACGACGACGACGACGTCGATGACCTCGACGACGACGGCGACAACGACGACGGCGACGACGACGACGACGAGCGAAAACGAGAGCGAGAGAGAACGACAGCAAGCCCCGAAGGACACGAAGTAGGTCACGAAGGGCGACAGCGGGGACACGAAGGGAAT